AAATTTAAATCAAACATTGTTAGATTGGATAACAAGTGAGGTTGGTAAAGGTAAAACAATCAAAGAAGAACATTTAAGAGAGAAAGCTGAAGAAATAATGAATGCTATTAGTGAAGATTTTAGTTGCATAGACGATTGGTTATTAGATTTTAGAAGAAGAAATAACGTTATAAAATTTAGTTCATTCATTGAATGTAGTGAAGAAGCCAAACAGGAATGGGACAAATTTGTCGCAAACGAAAACACAAATAACATTTATGTTGGTGGCAGTGTCGGATTACACCATTCTTTTGATTTTGATAAATATGCAAATCAACAAACTGCAGATAAACATGTGTGCTTGTTTTTTATTTTTTGTTGTTCTGGGGTTGATAAACAAGAGTTATTAGTAGTAGGAGAAAAAACCATTGAAGAGAGCAATGTAAAAAGCTTGCCTTTACAATATTATCAGAGTAATAAAAATTGTATTAACCATTGGATAATAGAGAACTACTTAACCAAATGGGACGATGATCTGAAAGCTCAAAATCGTAAAGTAATTTTAGTACTAGATATACCAGAAAATTTTCCAATAAACATCAGTTTAAATAATATTAAAATAGTGAAACTAATCAATATGGAATTTGTAACTAAAAATGTTGCAATGGTTGCTAAATCTATTAAATTTCATTATCGAAGGATTCAAATGACTAAAAAAATATTATTTAATAAGGATTCTAGTGTTCTTTCAGTAATAGATTACTTTGACATTATGAGTGCCGCTTGGAGCAGTGTGGCATCTGAATACATACAAAGATTGTTTTTTCCACTTGAGGATGGTTGTCTTTATATAAATACTGGTGATGCTATGGATTTCAACCTTAGTTTGTTGCAGTGGTGCAAATTGCACAATATACCTGGAGACCTTGAAAGGTACTCAGAATTATTGGACAGTTATGTTGAATGTGACAATGATCTACATATTATTGATACTAATTTCACAAATGACATAGCATTGAATGTGAATGATGCACTGTTAGAAAATGATGTACAACCTTCATCTGGTATACAGGCATATCAAGCTATAAAAAGACTAATCAACTACTTACAAAGCCAAAATGCTGACGAATCAGTTGTGACATGTGCAAAACAATTGGAAGATCATTTAGAACTTGCAGCATTACAAGAAATACAGGAGGTTTTAACGGCTAATAATACAATGGACTAATTTGGAATGGAATTATTTAATATACATGACAAGTCAGATGTTTCTTCAGTTCTAGCTTTAGAATATTTATACATTTTTAGAATCATCCTTAAATTCACGAGTAAATAAATGATATAACAATAAAAATATGATTTATTAATTTTGATACCTTATTTATAGTTTTATTAATTATTTTGATTATAAGTAGATTATCTAAAGAATATTCGGGCACTAGTAAGACTGTAATACAATAGCTGAAATTCTTCTTCAAGAGTTTTTATTTTCTTTTCGGAAAGAGCAAGTGCCTGCTGAAGCTGCAGACTCCCTTGATTTTTTTGTTTGTCAATGGTTTCTCGTTCCTCCTTGATATGGCTCCAAACTGAGTTGAACCAATGGAGAGATTCAAAATTTTTGTCCTAAAATGAAACAGGTGAAAAATTTAATAAAAGGTGGTTAATAATATAGATAAAATTTTATAACTGATTATACTCAGGATATATGTAAAGGAAAGAAAACATGAATCATATCACTATTTACCTGATCTAATAACTTTAAAATGTATGCTACACCAACAGCAAAACCATCATCCGTAAAAGCAGCTCCTGCTTTATTTTTCTTTGACATTTTGTCCTTTGATAATATCATGTGTTCTATAAAATTGAGGGTTAATGGTGGCACAATTATGAAGAAATTTTTTAAATGAACATTTTTAGGATTCCTAAACACTGGCGCAAAAACGTCGACAAGTAACTTAAAATATTCAGTGCCTTCTACAAAATTAGATACCAGGTCATTTATGTTATTATCTAAATTCTCTGCAGCCTCAGTTGCCTTATCGCCGAGGGAGTTGTCTAGAGAGAGCTGTTTAAAGGATTTGTTGTCGAGGCTAGGTAAGAAAGCAGTCGCGTCGGCACAGCAATGTCGGCCACCCGAGCGGACCATTCGCACGTATCCCATAGCATTACCAATTTGGGTTATGAGGTCTCTAAATAAGTCCAAATAGCTCTGACCATCTTCAGCTAAACCTAACATCTTTATGCCTTTATTGAATTTTTCTGCATGCTTATAGAGATACATATTGCCACTGGAGTGAGCATTTTCTTTAAAATATCTCAAATCTTTGATCAGTCTTGACTTAATCTGCTCATCAAACATAAATTGAGAAAAGATAAAGAATTTGTTTTTCAAAAATTGATATGTAAAATTGACAGTGGTGTTCATTATTCCTGTACCATGGGTTCTGATTGAATTTGCTATATGCCTTATGTTAATTGAATTCAAATGTTTGTTGCTACTACTTTTTTCTATAAAAATCTGGTTATTCAAATTGTATTGATATTTTGAAACGAAAATGTGTATTTTCCGCATAATTTCCAGTATGTCTAAACCTTGCTCTAAAGTTTGTTTAGGAAGATTGTCTTGTACCGTTGATAGATTAAATTTAAGTTTAGCCATTTGTCGCATCTCTCCATAAGTTTTCCAATCCGATAGTACAACTGTTGTTAAATTGTAGTATGTTTTAGACAGATAATGTTCCACATGGGGCACCACATTCGTGTAAATGTTCGAAATTCTCAAATCATTTGCTATCAGAAATATTTTCTTTATCATGTCATCCGTAAAAGGATTTACTATATCCAATTGTAAATGTGAATGCGTATGTAAACGTAAGTTTGTTTCTATATTTTGACTCATAGTGTTCAATACTTTTTCGTTAATTATATCGGTGGCGCCGAATACAAAGTCATTTATCTTGTTATAGTTATAATACTTATCAGTTTTGTGTAGAAGACCTGCACAATCTTCAAATACCATAAAGAAATTTTTTAATTTAAGTGCATTTAATTGGGCACTGAATGGTTGATCAAAATAAACAGGAATTATATTCTGATGCCACAACATCCACGAACAATTGCAATATTTGTCCATATTATTAAGAAATTGTGTCAAAATTTGAATTTTTTCCAGTAATGTTCCCAATTTTACGTAAGTGTCGTCAACATATGTCGTGTCTGGAACAAAACTTAACGCAATGTTCGTAGCAGTATTGCGTTCTACTGTAGCCGCTCCTTTCACAGCTTGTTCAGCAATTACAATACAAGTGAGCTCATCCAACTTTTTGTTAGCGTATTTCTTATCGCACATTAACATTTTCTTCACTTCTTGTATAGTAGACGCCGATTGAAACAGCAAATGTTGAATAATCATTGTTGTTGAATTTATAATCTGATTACTATTACGTGTAACAGCATTTTTAACACCTTTTAATATATCAATGATTTCAAATAAAGACATTAAAGTTTGTTTCGATAATGGTATTCCGAGGCATAAGTGTAAATTTAGAAAGGTCAACAGAGAATGATAAATAGTGGAAGCGATTTCAAGACCTTCTAATATTAATTTTGCATGAACATTCATTTCTGCTGCATTCAATTTAATATAATTTGAAAATAGTTCCTCTACATTTAAAGTCCATTGAGAGGAAATAGTTTGTAAAGTAGCTACATCTCTAGACAGTGATAATTTCTTGGCATTCATATAGGCCTGTCGTGCTTTTAGCATAGTTTGAGGTAATTTACCATGACTTGAAGAGAGTGATGGTGAATACCTTTGTAAAAATTGTTCTGGAAACCACAGTGTTGTTCCAATGATGTGAATACTGTGTGCCTGAAATTAAATTATATCTAAATTCACTATCAATATGTTCTAACATTAGTAAATCTTAGGTACATCTATATTTTTATACTATACTATTATAATAAAGCGTAAACGCACACTTCTTTGTTGCCTAAGATGTCAGCAATTACAGCATATTTTTGAAAATCCCTTTTATAATAAAAAGTTACACTTACGTCACACTTTATGCTATATATTTTCACACCATTAAACTTAGAGGGTAAATATTTTGGATAAAAACCCTAATGTGGGAAAGAGACTATAAGTTGCTGCCAACACCAAGAAAGTAAGATTGCCAAGGTATGTCATTTTGACATTTGCTATGACAAATGTAAACAATAAAATAACATTTTTATAATTTCATGAGAATAAAGCCGCACAGGAACAGCTAGTATTTAATACAATTTATTTATCCACAAATCTACTTCAGAACTAGAAAATAATAGTAATAATTGCATACCTTTGTGTTTAGATCTACTAAAGTCTTAAATATCTTTTTATCGCTGCTACCAAATAAATGTGAACTTAGCACAAAAAGAGAATTGATTTTTATGCATTTGTACATATTTTCTGTAGTAGGTTTTTCTTGCACTAAATTATCTAAGTTAATGAGCGCTTGTTTAATGTACTGTGTAAATTCTGAAGCAACAGTAGAGCAACTTTTTCCAACCAAGTTGTTCTTCCTTAGGTTTAATAAATTGTGAAGTGTATTTTGAACAATATCATCACTCATTAATTTGGCTGTAATGTTATCTATGGCACCTAAAATTGCTTTAAATTTTTCATCAAATGTATCTAGATTCTCTGGTGCGAATGTCTTCAAGTTTTTAGAATAATTATTCCATTTAGTAGGCAGTGATGTTCTAGATATTAATAATTCTAATAAAATAATGATTGTGAATAGCTCTCCTATATTATTAATAACATAATGCAGTTGTATTCCATCTGGAAATGAGAATGATTCATTAGCCAATATCAATTATGAGACATGAAATGTCTGGTATGCAGGCTCATTTTCAGCAGTTAATAATGTTAACTTACAATAATCTTGACAAAATAGCAGAAAAACTATAATTCATGTTGGACACAAAAACAACATAATTATGTTTGATTAGAAGCATATTATAATGACTTACTAAGATTTATAAGGCCCTCGGATACAATGGCAAAAACTTGGCTGCATAAGTTCTGTAGAGTGTCATTGCAATGAGAAGTAAATGCATTCAACAAACATATTGACTCCATTTGTGATGCAATCTCACTTTGACTGTATTCTTCATAAACAGCTAAGAATGGAAAATGCCTGCAAAATACCTTTGATTAGTTTTAGCTATTTATACTTTGTTCAAACACTGCTTTATAACTTTGTATTGATTTAATTATGCAATATTTTAAAATTTGTTTTACAATATACTTATCAAGTAGATCATTGCCGATGGTTCAAATAACTCAATAGATACATTGTTATTGTGATATATTACCGTTCAAATGCTTCCTTTTTTAAAGTAGATACTTCTACACACAATGCGCTCAAGACCCCTAAAACTTTCGTCATTATGGTATTATCAGAAGCCACTAATTCCGGAATAGGGATATGTTCACGAGGCATCATATCAATTTTTATGGGTAAGTAAGTTTTATTTTCTACCAAACTTGTGGAACCACACATCTGTAGATGATCTTGATATTGTTTCTTAAAAAATTGTCCGTATTGCTTCAATATGCAAGCGCCAGCTTCTTTTTCCTTGTCGCTCCTCATCTTATTAGTGTTAATAATAAACGTTTAAACTAACTAATATGAATTCTTCCAATGGGTAATGTAACAAATAAATGGGGCTGGGACATTGACAAAGTTTTATAGACTACTAAACATATAAATTACACTTATATTTTAATAGCGAATTCATCGATATAAAAACCATTAATAACATGCGAAATTGCAAAACAAGACAAAATTGAAGATTTTTGACAATTAACATAATATTGACAATGAATGACAAAGAGTAGATTATGATACTGTTTTTTAGAATAGGTGACACACTAATTCAACAAAAAAATCTATTGGAACGCAAAATGTATGAAGATAAATAATTCAATTCAATGATGGTTTTAACGTTCTTAGTTTCTCGAAGAAATGTAAATTGGTAATTACTGAAAACATTTGAAAACTTTACGTCAAACTATCAGATCATATTTTCTTCTTTGCGCCAAAATAATTGTGACAACAAAATGTCAAGTCAATTGTCAAATCACAAGCAAACTGTTGAGACTGTTGTGAAGTAAATATAATTTTTGAATTTCTGACTCTAAACGCAAATAAAACCTAATTTAACACAAATTGACGGTTATACTTAAGGTCTGTTATATAACAGAATAACTTTCAGGATTAAACTTGTAGAGAAAACCTTAAAAATAATCCAATATGGATCAAATGCTGCCGAGTCCGTACAACATTCCTGGCATAGATACTCCTTTTCATCAACCAGAGGAGGACCAACAAATTTTGCCAAATGCAATGCAGCAACAGCAACAAATACAGCAACAACAACAGCAGCAGCAGCAACATTCTTTGGCTTCTTTGGGTTCCTCGCCACTTGTGGGATTTGGCGCATCTTTATTAGGTACCCCTCAAAGGTCTATGCATACTTATGCTCCAACTGCCAGTTATGCGACTCCTCAACAGATGATGCAACCTCAAACTCCAGTAAGTATTTTAATTTTAGAAGTGGGTAATGTAAAAAAATATTTTTATCTGGTGATACACAAATATAGCTTAGTTCCCATTCAATGTCTCTCTTGACATGTATTTTAAGTGTTCAATGATATTCACTTAATAGTAGAACTAGTATAAATGAAATCTTAAGCCAAAAGAAAATTTAACATGATATATTGTAAACAATTTTTGTATACTATAGCAAAATATGATGTCACCATTGATCACAAGTGGCAGTTTGGCGGGACAACAAATTCTTGGGCAAGCAAGTCCTGCACCTATGACACCCATGACTCCACATTCAGCTGACCCTGGAATATTACCGCAGCTGCAGTAAGTGTTATAAATGGTTTTAATCTCTTATGGGATTTATGTATAAGATATGGGTTGAAATGTTTTCACACATATATCAAAATATGATTTATTCATTAAAAATTTAATTTCATAATAATCTCATTACATAGAGTAAAACTTAAAATAAAGTCTAACCTCTGCTTAGAATTTAGAATTGCAAGAGAATAAAATAGGCCTCAATATAATGTATTTAATTTTTTTATCAATTATTTTTCAGAAATATTGTTTCAACAGTAAACCTAAATTGCAAGTTGGATTTAAAGAAAATAGCTCTCCATGCTCGTAACGCAGAATATAACCCAAAGCGATTTGCTGCTGTTATTATGCGAATTAGAGAGCCCAGGACAACAGCACTTATATTTTCATCAGGAAAAATGGTCTGCACTGGAGCTAAAAGTGAAGAGGACTCACGATTAGCAGCTAGAAAATATGCTAGAATTATCCAAAAACTAGGGTTTACTGTAAGTATCAAGAATCTTGTTTCTTACTATATTCATACTTGTCATATTTCATTCACTTTAATTAAAAAACTTCTATCAATACCCATAACATATATAGTTTTTCCTACAAGCTGTTAAGTTTATTCTCAGATTTCAAGATCCCAGCACATCTAAGGTTTGCCGATGAGCATCCAATCACTTCCAACCAATACCTCCTACATCAACTCAATTAGTACCGTTCGAAACGGTATGTAAATATGTCGTAAATAGTTCAGTGTCGTATTGTAGTATATTTTTAATTTTATTGGTTGATATAAATCATTATTTTAACATTTTTTATTATTTATTTATTTGAAATTAAGAAAAACAACTTGCTTTGTTATTCATGAGATTGACGGGTAAACACCACAAAAATAATCAAAAACCAAAATTACACATACATCTGAGGACAACAATTCCAAGATATTGAGTCTTTTTAATATAGCTTTTTATCATCACATATTTTGACTTGTAATTGGTTTCTTAAACTACCCTTTTTTTCAGGCAAAATTTTTAGATTTTAAGATACAAAATATGGTTGGCAGTTGTGATGTGAAGTTTCCGATTCGTCTAGAGGGCTTAGTGTTGACACATGGTCAATTCAGCTCCTATGAGCCAGAGCTTTTTCCTGGACTTATTTATCGTATGGTGAAGCCAAGAATAGTGTTATTGATATTTGTATCAGGCAAAGTGGTATTAACCGGAGCCAAAGTAAGACAAGAGATATATGAAGCATTTGATAATATTTATCCTATTTTGAAGAGCTTTAAAAAACAATAGATTTTTAAGTTAACTAGTGTTTATATTTTTTTAAGTTTGTTTCTAAGAAAAAAATAAAGCAATTAAAATATGTATTATACTTTTATTTTATACCAAAATGAAAGAAGTAATGTTTATTTGCGAAGCTTTTCTTTAGCTCTGTAGTCTATTAATGAATTGTATAGAATTAAAAAAAAAAATTGCACAGCGTTAGCTTTTTAACAAATGGTGTAATTTATTTGCATATTCTTTGCATCTATGGCGAAGTATCGAAAGGGCATTTCATGATTTTTTTTTGCTTTTTGCTTTATCTGAAAGTTATTGTGAAATTTTTTATATTTTATCTGTGAACGTTGATAAGTAAAATGACAGTTGACAGTTGCTGTCTCGATTTTATGTCATTTTGTGAGATCCACGCGTTAGTATTGAATAAAATTGAGTATTTAGAAAACACTAGTTTTTAGATAATCAATTTAATATTATCGACTAAAACATTCTGAAAGAATGGCTGAAACTATGAAACAAACCGTTGCTAGTATTCTCAAAAGCATTGAAAGGTAAAATTTGAGCTATTTGCCAGTGTAGCAAGTACTTCAGATAGCCGATATTTTCATAGTTTTGTGATTGTAAATGTAGGAAATACAACTTTATAGCTAAATATTAAATTATAATTTATTATAAGTACTACAGTTCACTTGTACTAGGTACCAGGGTATCCTTGGGGAAAAGTTTTTGACATGTCATAAAATCCACTTATAACAATCAATTTTTGAAGTTAATTTGATATTAAATTGTAATTAGACATTGAATAGTAAATGAAAAAAGTAACTAATCATTAATAAGTATTGTTCTAGTTAAAATGTAGCTTTACTATTCCAGATATAATCCAGCAAATTTACAGACGCTGGAGAGATATGTTGAAATGCAGTCTAGAGAGAACACATATGATCTAGAAGCTAACTTGGCTGTATTAAAGCTGTATCAGTTTAACCCAGATAAATTCAACCCTGACATAACTTGCCAGATCCTGCTAAAGGCATTAACAAACTTCCCACATACAGATTTTACATTGTGCAAGTGTCTGTTGCTGGAATCTGTTGTAAGTATTGTAAAATATCCATACCACTATTAGTGATGCCTATTACTCTTTAATAAGTGAAGTTTGCACAGTCTTGAAGTTCTGTGATTTTAATTTTTAGTTTGAACCTTATAAAAATATCCAGTATCTATTCAATTCGTCTATGTATTTTATGTTAATTTAAAACTCACTTTTAGTAATGATCATAAATTTTTGAAATAATAATATCCAGCTATAATTAACTGGCTTCCCAAAAGTAGAACATTATCAATTTGTCTGTATTTGTTTTTTAATCTTACAATGAGTACACAACAATTTATGTATTTACTTTCAGTCGGAAAATGAAACAATATCTCAAATCAAGTACCTAGCAGATATTTTAGAGCAGTGTGACTTTGCTCAGTTCTGGAACAGAGTGCATCAGATGCCTGAGCTCTGCAACCGCATCAGCAGTTTTCATGACTCCATAAGGAAGTTTGTGTGTCATGTAGTTGGTATTACTTTCCAGACCATAGACAAGAACAACTTGGCCAACTTGTTAGGAGGAATTGATGGTGTGTATTATGATTTTTCTTATTTTATTTAATATGTTTGCTTTGTCTAAGTCTACTAATCTCTTGAAAAAGTTGAATGTGTAATGTTAGTCATTATATTTTAGATGTGACTTTAAAACATTGGGTCAAGAAATATGGGTGGAGGGATGAGGGAAACCTTATCTTCATTGCCAATCAAGATGAGAACATTAAGACCAAGAACATCACAGAAAAAATAGAATTTGATCATCTTGCTCCTTTGATGACATTATTGTAGCATTGTTCTAAGGAAGTTTTGTAAAAACAAAATTTTATAAGATGAATGTGGCATAACATTTTGTAAAATTATAAATAAACATATTTCACAGTGATTTTTTTTTATTATCAAATGATTTTAGTAGATCAATATGATTTCCTATGACTGCTATGACATTTGGTTTATTTTTCAATCATTTAGCAAGTGATTTATCAGATTTATCATCATTATTAGTAACATAAAGTTAAAAAATACAACTGTTTCCAAAAGTAAACATTACAATAAAACTATACTGCTGCTTTCTAGATGTTTTTAGGCTTCTCAGGGAAATCAGTTATGTTTTTTTTATGGCCAAAATGCTATGTCTAGTCTTTTCACTATAAACTGCATGGTCTGATCACCGTCATTCCTTCTCAGATCAAAATATCAACACCAGCTTTTGCCCGCTAGCACGTTCGCGCGGACTTAAAAAAAAACATAGTATCCTATGTTTTCTTTATCTGTCCTCTTTGCCACATTTTAATTTATGATTAAGATTAAGATTTTCAGACTGATGTAAGTCAATAATGATCATTTTGGTAATCGCGCCATTCTTTTCTCACTTTGTACCTACAAATTCACAACTAATTTACGTAATTTAGTTTATATAACATGCGTAAAAAAATTGTCTTTTTATCCTTTTATACTTGCGCGTATGGCAACCGAGGAATTTAACATGACTTTTCGTACCTCTTTCCTTCTAGGGAATAAATTTGTCGGAAGAATGATATGGTTTGTTATATATTTTCGGAGTTTCATAAAACATTTATTATTATCATAATGTAACAATAAGACTAATACTTAATAGAAACAATGATTTGGTTCAAAACGTAACAAACTAAAAGTAATACGATATTATTAAGCTTTCTTTCCATGGCTGTATCCATGCTCCTTTCCGCCCGCATGTCCGCCCTTTTTACCGTGCTCGTGATGGTGTGCGTGATGTTCCTCGTGGCCATGATGGCCCTTGTGTCCCTTGTGGTCTTCGTCGTAGTGCCCTTTGTCGTGTTGACCCTTCTTGCCGTGATGTTTCTCGTGGTGTCCCTTTTCGTGATGTCCGCCTTTCTTGTGGTGGCCGTCTTTCTTATCGTGATGGCCGTGGAAGTCACCGTGCTTGTGATGATGTCCACCCTTGTGGAAGTCGTCGTAGAACTTATGTTCCTTATGGTATTCGTCTTTGTGAGACTTATGATGGTAGCCAGTGGTCTTCGAACCCTTCTTATGTCCCTTCTTGTGGCCAAATTTGCCACCTTTATGACCATGCGCGGCTTCATGATGTTCTCCATGGTGATCATGCTCGTCATGATGCTTCTTCTTGTGTCCTCCGTGCTCGTCGTGATGACCTTCGTGGTGATGGTGCTCCTTGTGGCCGTGTTCTCCTTTGTCGTGATGATGATGCGACTTATAGCCCTTGTCTCCCTTTTCCTCATTGTCTTTATGGTGATGCGCATGATGCTCGTGGCCGCCACCCGATTCTTGATTAGTACTTTTGGCTTCCTTCTTTTCCGTGCCCGCAGTTATTTGGTCGATCTTCGCTTTTCCAGCGACGAGGCCGGCAGTTTCCACGGCTCCAACAACCGCGCCATTCGCTTTGCTTTCATTGTCGGTGAGACCAAAGTTTCGGCCCAGCGATGATGCTAGCGCACATGCCAGCAGCACCGTCCATAACATTAACTTCATTTCTAAAACAATTATTTAAAATGTATTAACCGATTCCATTCCAATATGTACGCTTTCAATATATTTTATTGATGCATAAGTCAAAAACAAACAAGATATATCGGTATCTCTTAGTACTTACCAAGAGTCGCGATTCGTAGTCAAGTTACGTTAGCTGTGATAAAAATGTTTCCGCACTTTGAATTTATAGATAACGCTTTCATCTCTGCGTAATTTCAGAGCGATCTTTGGCAATCATATTGCTGCACATTTCTGGACGAGTGGTTTCACGTCAGAAAACGATGTCGACATCCGTTTACGGTGCCGGTCAAATTTGTTCCGTTCAAATGTTAGTCAAATGATTGATTATTTGCTACTATTTATCGGTATGAGTTGTACGAGCGTGAATTGGGCGAACTAAACAATAAAATATATTACAGGCTTTACAAAGACAGTTTTAATATTATAAACAACTATTATTATAAAAGTAACATTTGTTTATCTAGGACGAGGTAATTTGAGCATAACAATAACAAAACGATAATCTTATATTTAATTAAATCAGTGCTTTCCATGTTGGAATCCCCAATGCTTATGGCCCTCGTGACCGCCTTTCTTTCCATGGTCATGGTGGTCATGATGGTGTTCCTCGTGGCCGTGGTGGCCTTTATGTCCTTTGTGGTCTTCGTCGTAGTGGTGCTTGTCGTGGTGGCCTTTCTTGCCGTGATGGTGTTCGTCATGTCCGGAATGGTGATGGCCTCCTTTCTTATGATGTCCTCCATGTTTCTTGTGGTGTCCATGATGGTCGCCATGCTTATGATGCTTGCCTTCTTTGTGGTGATCGTCGTAGAAGTGATGGTCTTTGTGGTACTCGTCCTTGTGGTACTTTTTATGGTAGCCTTCGGTTTCCTCGCCTTTGTCATGATGTTTTTTATGATGGTGTTTACCCCCCTTGTGGTGATGTCCATGTTCGTGGTGCTTTCCGTGGTGATCGTGTTCATCCCAGTGTTTCTTGTGTTCTCCCTTGTGATCGTGGTGATGGCCTGCATGATGGTGCTTGTGATGTTCTCCATGTTCGCCTTTGTGGTGATGATGGTGTCCTTTATGTCCCTTGTGGCCCTTCTCACCATGCTCATGATGGTGTTCTGCGTGATGTTTCTTGCCGCCACCCTCTTCGTGGTGATGACCTTTGTGATCACTAGCAGCAGCTACTAAGTCACTTTCTTTCTGACCGATTTCTCGGCCTGAACAAACGACAAGAATACATCCTAAAAGACAAAGGGCGACTAGCGTCCTCATTTTAACTGGATTTTATAAAGCCTCAACGTTGAATGTTTGAGTAATGGGACTGCACTGATTGTCTATCGGTTTGTGACACCAATTTATATCTATCATTAAAGGTGCTGGTTGCAGCCGGTGAAATTACCGAGCAAGGACGTCACGCGAACGTAGCGCCTATAAGCTTCGACTGTTGCGTCACGCGGTGCTGGGTTGTAGGGCTTGTATTTAAAAAAAAACCGCGGTTATGCATTTCCGTGCTTATTTTTTGCCGCGACCTGGTCGTATGAGTTCGTGTTTAATCCGATTTTTGTAGGTTCATGTTCAGATTAATGTTTTTACATTCATTTATTATTTAGTAATTTGAAAAATGAAGTATGATAGACAAGATGGTGGTAGGGGAGGGGCTGCTGCCTCCACTAGAGTATCAAGAATCATTATATTTTGTGATATCGTTTTCTTCTAACTAAGCCTTCCATTCTTAGCCCAAGAATTCCCCTACAATCCTAAACATAGTCTAGTTTAAAAAATATTTTTTTTAAATTGCATTACTTCGCATAGAAATACGAGTATTATAAATTATGTACATTTTTCCCAAAGACATGTGTGAACTGTTACGAAACGATAGGTTCCATTTTTTTATGTAAAGAAACGGCGTATATCATTTAGTAAATGGTTAAGATACCTGATATAATACATATTTTAAAAACCAATTTTAATCTACGCCCGGTTTAGTGAAGTATTAGCAAATAAGATAAACGATGACATTATCGAGAATTTCAACTGTCGTAGCACACGTGTACAAGAAAGTAGCAATAAATACTATTTTAATTTTTTTTTAAATAATGTAACAGTAATTTAATGACCCTAAAAGTTGAGATTAGAGTTTCTGACCGTGACCTTATTTCGCCGACGTATTTCTAGATCGGCGTCATTGTTTGGAGAAAATTAAAATGTGTACAAACTATAATCATTGTGAAATTTTTTTGCTAAGCGGTACTGAAGTAAATTATAACACTATTGAAGTGTTTTTGAAGTGTAAAGCATTTGAATTGCGACTACATTAACGGTTTAAAGCACGATGAAAACTAAAATCGTGAAAATATTCTATCACTATGTTTCACAGTATCAATGTCGATCGACTACGAAATAATGAATTTAAAATAAGGTAACTAATCAAACTCTACAGAAAACATTATTACCGATCAGATTTCGATTATCTAACCAACTTGTTCAATTGTTCTTTTATTTAAGGATTTGTTTATCGTTACAAACGACAATATAAAGATTAAGCTTTTGTTCGCAAGACATAAGTAAGTATTATTTGCATAAAAAATTGTAGAATAAAAATGGATGTAGTCCTTATATTTCTAGAAATGCTCCAGTTCTCCAGAGCTCCGTCCGCGATGCTTCAGTTAAGAATGGGATATTACAAAATGTTTAGAGCGCTTGTAATATTTGTTACGTTATTTCGTTATTGTCGAAGCACCAGAAGCATCTATTGCATTGCGATAAACAATTCGTAAATATTTATGATTTGCAATAAATTTTCTTTATTGATAAGGAAGAGTAACTTCTAGTTTGATATCCGGGTTCAATTTCATTTTTAACGTTTTACCATGAAAGTATGAAAGTGCAACTGATGAATTTCTGAACGATGGCTAATTTATGTATTCTTAGATCTTTTTTTATTAATCACATGTAGCAATTCATATAATATAAGGTAAAATTAGGGGCGTACAGCCAATATTGCATTTCAACTGACCCTGAAAGGTAATGTTTTTTGCGTATATATGTATATTTCAATGTATCCAGGTTTTGAATGTTAAATCTCTTATATATTTGCCTTGTAGTCTTGAATCGTTATATTTCGATATCGCCTCTAAAAGTCATTAGTCTTAAGGAACCAATCAAGACTACTAATTTATGGGAGATGTATTCCATTCATTTCAAGTATTTGTAATGAGGATATAGTCAGTTGTGATTCTTGACTTATTTTATGATTCACCAGTTTATGAACCTCTATTAATAATTTTATGTTTGTCTTTACTTCTTAATGATGCGTCGCACAGCAAGAAGCAAAGGTAAGGTTTTAAAAATAATAGGTAAACACAATAATAATGAAAGTAAAAAATCAATTTAACATTTTTATATTTTTGTATAAAACATATAAAAACAATAAAAAACAATCTCAATTTTAAATAGCAATAAAAGATAATAAGTGTTTTTATATATGTTTTCATTAATGTTTACCGTGGTGGAATCCCCATTCCTTATGGTCATCATGACCGCCTTTCTTGCCATGACCATGGTGATGGTGCTCATGGCCCTCATGTCCATGGTGGCCCTTATGTCCGTGATGACCCTCGTCATAATGGTGTTTATCGTGATGTCCGTGTTTACCATGGTGACCCTCATGATGGCCAGAGTGATGGTGTCCTCCCTTCTTGTGGTGACCGCCATGATCTTCGTGGTGTCCGTGATGATGGCCATGTTTATGGTGTTTGCCTTCGTCGTGGTGGCCGTCATGGAAGTGGTGGTCCTTGTGGAAGTGGTCCTTGTGGTATTTCTTGTGGTATCCGTCGGTGTGTTCACCCTTGTCGTGATGCTCATGGTGACCATGCTTGCCGCCCTTGTGGTGGTGACCGTGCTCGTGGTGCTCGCCGTGGTGGTCGTGTTCATCCCAGTGTTTCTTGTGGCCACCTCCGTGCTCGTGGTGATGCCCCTCATCGTGGTGTTTGCCGTAGTGGCCTTCGTCGCCCTTGTGATGGTGGTGATGACCGTGGTGGCCCTTGCCGCCCTTGCCGCCGTGCTCGTGGTGGTGATGTCCGTGATGGTGATGGCCGCCGCCGTGCTCGTGGTGATGGCCCTTGGTCTCGGCCACCGCGAGGTCAGACTCGGCAACTTCGTAAGCGAAGCAAGCTGCCGCGAGGCATAGCACTCCTAACACCAACAGGCCCCTCATATTTGCAGGTGGACTTCTCCGTTTGTTTCCTATCGGAAGTCCGGCTGTGACTGACCTCAGCTGTTGGATTGGCTATTTTATATTATTTAGTTGTTAGACTTTGTGGCGATGTAGAAATATAATTCCGCAACCGGCGCCTGCACTAGTTCATGGACAATTAATAAAAAATCTAAACATCATTGCATTTCGAGTGTACAGTTTCGATGTATACAGGAATTTGCTTTCAGTGTATTGTATAGTGATAGTGAGCATTAGTGAATGATCATGAAAATTTGCAATGCAGAGGTGGTACATAAGGAGGTTCAGACAGAGGAGCCATAATTCGTCCAAAGAACTCGAATTCCTTATGGTCTACTAAAATATTACTCTGCTGTAGCTAATATAAGTATAATTTCTGGATCGATTAAACATCTCTTCATCTTATAAAAACAGATATCAAATTAGACTAGATGCAAACAGACTGCGTATATAGCCGATATTATAAAATTATGTAAGCTATATACAGTTTTACTCTAGGAAATAACGCATTCTTTATGCTTATAACAATAGAAGCTACGAAACTATACATGCGAAAACAAAGTTTGTTCACTTCCTCAATATAGTCAATGTGTAAACACAGTCTTGACTGACGGCTTATAAATTTAAGTCAATCGAAAATTATCTGCTTAGTGGATCCTTTAACATACGAAGCACCGCTATTTGGATAGCGTTAAACAATTCTTCCGAACGAGTAGGCTTGAAGGCAAGCCCTTGTCGGTTTATGTAGGCAGCTATCGCTCTGCATCGTCTGTGTTTGGGTATTCACTTCGATTATACACGCTCCGGCTTCATCACGGTCCTTTGATTGCGAACGATTAACACATTTTTCGGATATGTTAGAACCGATATGGTATTGTTACTTGTTATAATGTATGTATCTCACTATATTAATTTAAGTTTATACGTTTATAAGTTTGTATAACTTGTAAGTTAAAAAAAAATACAAAAATCTGTTGCGCCGACACTACGGGAGTAGGAAAAGGATGATGATAATAAAGCGTTGTAAGTTTATGAGCTTTGGTTATAGGGAGATAGGAACGTAAAAAGACGATTTGAATTAGATGTTATAATGTTAAAATATAATTTGTCTTAAAGTGTTGCAGACAGTGTTAAAAATTCGGATTGAAATCCGAAACTTTCCCGTTAATTTTTTACATTACAAAACAGAACAAATAAAGTTTAAAAACGTCTAGCCCGTTCGTTTAATTACGTATAAGGCGTTTATTTTCAGTTCGGTTTACGTAACGCTAACGGAATTGCTTGTCGGGTTAGCTTATTTTCATACGATGGCAGTACAAAAGGTATTGTTCGGAATAAGTTCACGATCGACACGGTCTGCCGGCCGCTTTTCCATCAGCTCCACTTTCGACAAAACAGTTTTCAAGGCTATATAAGTGTCGGCCTTGTGAATATGCTGTTATTTACACAATATGAAATAATTTCTCTGACTTAATTCGGAATGAAATTACTTAAAAATATCGGAAAGAAACTTTTGACCTGAACTTTTTTTTAGTTTTACTATTCGTTTAATTAATAAATGTAATGCATTTTGTATATGTATGAGTTGTGAAGTCGTAATAAATAAATATGTAGAGCAGCTGATGGTAATCGGTTTTCAACTTATGCACTTACCGCATTGAGGGCGTCACACTTGCGCGTAATATTCGCTAAGAAGCCTCAGCCACAACATCGCACAATCTTGTTAGGCCGTGCTGCGATAATGCTATTACCTCTGTAATTCTATATTTTCTTGGATTGAATTACTTACTTACTTACCCACATAGTTCCAGTATTACGTCCTCCTTACAGTTGTAGACGCATATCTACGTATGTAAAATCGAAGGTTTATTTTATTTCAGGCAAAATGTATCTGAAAACTTGTATTTCATATTAACAACCATATCGACGTAGTTGGATGGATGGAAGAAGCAAATTTATGTAATCTTATTTTCAAATGTGAATTTTAATATGCTCACCTATACGTTAAAGTGATAAGCCTGGGTGCAATTTGCTAAGTATTTTTTTTAACTTATTTCTATGTACTTAATGTAACCGCCAGAGTACAATTATTTATTTAACGATCAAGAATGGTTGTTATATGTTAATAATATTAACTTTTTCTAACGCTAATAATAACAAAAGACGTTTAATAATATGGACATGTAAAGTTCGGACTAGTTTAAATCTTTATATTTAATAAACGATTGCAATTCTGCAATATATTTGAACAGGGCTGGTGCACAAGCGACGTGGTTGGCCATATTGTTGGCGCTCGGGAGGTTAGGGCCGGATAATCCCGGCTATTGTTAGCTATTTTAATGCTTACGCCTTTGTGTGACCGTCCTGTATTAAGTCATACGCGGATAATCCACGCATTATACCGGGTTAATTTTCCATTACAGCACACATGCGCACACGTAAACCTACATGTATGTATGTTATGGATAAGTATACACGCTTAGCAGCTGCTTTTGATTAACAAAGCTTAGTCTAATATAGGTAAAAGCTTAAAAACAAATTATTTAATACGTAGCAGTACATTGTCTTGGAAATTTAAGGAGATGTTAGGAATCTATGAAATCTGAGCAAATTTTTAGTTTGTGTCTAATTCTTACGGTCAATGAGTAAATCACTATTTTATTCCTCTTATGCATTTTAATCTCAATAGCTGATATTAAGTGTTCCGGTAGTCGTCTAAGTAAACACGCGCTGAGTAATCTCGGTTGGATGCGTCGCCTCGTCGAGTGCCATCAATATTTGCCAGAACAGGACACCGTAAAGATGTTTCCGGTCCGTAAAAGTATCGTATTAACCGTTCAAACATTGGATGCGTGGCTTTATCGCTGGCAGCTGGTCGACACGACTAATTACATCAATTACAGACAAACAGGGCGCGCTCGGGTTACGGCTCCCACCTTCGTCAATATTTGCACATGATGCGATGCGCCGCAACCACCGCTCCGAACGCTCCGGCCGCTCCGCCTCTCACCGCCGCGCCAATCCAAGCTTGGACACTTCACACGACATCGTATTTGGATTACGGTGAATTTTGGGCATTTTATTTGCATACATTTTATTGTTTGTCCACAAACAACTTTACTTCAATTAGTAGGTATTACTTAGATAAAAAAAGGTTTTGTGAATACGTGTATCAAAAAGTGACGAAGTTCTGCCTCCACCCCGCTAATCTTGATGTCAGCTCATAGATGTTTCAACCGAGGGACTCAGGCCTAGCCGATTTAAGGGTGACTAGACATCAGTCAACCACCCAGGCGCAGTGCACATCGGTTTTCTACGCACGCACGCATATCTTTGGATGCGCAGAATGCATTTTTTCCTTCCCATAAGAATATCGTTACATATGATATTCGAATAAAAATACCGGACCTGTACGTAATAACGACGCCCTACTATTATTAATAATTATTAATACAAGTTAAAATAATTAATCAGACAATATAATAATTTAAAAAATGACACTGGCTGAACACGTATATTGCGTGTGCCTATATGAAAAAAAACAACCACTTTTTTGGCGCGCACAAAAAACATGTCATTTGTCGTTTATCCACATTTCATGTGTATCAGTATTAAGTATTGTTGTAGCTGTAAGCAGCAAAAAGAGCATACTGCAGTAGAATGCCGCGGGCGACGAGTTCCACAAAACATGAGGCTCAATTTGTTAGCCGTTAGCAGTCGAGTTAATCCTCCATCCGTGATTGTGTCTAAGAGATTGCTCGCGGAGATTTCGCAAATCGTGATATGTAGGTACAAAAGGTGAGTAGATGTAAAAAGATGACTGGTGGGAGGCGATAATCTGCGCGAGAGGTGGGTGCCACCCGTAGCTGTAACCGTAGCATAATCATACCTTTACATTTAACGAAACCGGTTGGAAAGGAAAATTAGGTGAATTTTCGTAGTCAATGCTATTATGAACATTTAATTTTAGACGTACATATCTATTTGTGAGGATAAAATATCTTTACATTTTCCATTTCTTACAACCATATAACAAAATAATGTTTAACTACTAAAAGAAGTATGTTTCTATACTTTTGATTTACCTATTTATTACGCAGATTTTTTGAAAGTTTGATATATCTTAATGGTCAAATATTGTGTTTTTTATTCTTTCCACGTCATGCACATATATTTGTAGTCTGTAGGAAAAAAAATGACCGTGGCAAAGATCTGTATAAGTTTTGCGTGAAATTGTGATCCAAGGCGGAATTAATGTACTGTAATCCTCTTGCTACGTCCTATGTAACTTGTACATATATAAGGGGTCATAAGAGTACGTAGAATTGATAAAAACCTTTATTGTTTGGAGGGAGAAAAGGTCTGGTGTGCGATTGTGGATGGAGAATTAAACGCGGAGAACAAAATGCAACCGTCTATATTTCTGTGTATCATTATTGTATGTAAGTATAAGTAGTGAAAATTAATTCCTAGTTAAATTTTATTTATTAAAGAGAAATTTCATATTCCTGTCTATATACAATTTGACCCTATTTATTAGACCATCTAGTTTATCGCGTTAAAAGATATAACGATATCTACAACAAACAATATAAAGTGCTTACACGGAGATGTAGGGATGAGATACTATTATCATTTATGAGTGTTCGGGAGCGTCGTATTGTCAGTTCCATTAAGCCGAGAATAGGGCGGGGCTTGCCTCGGTACGCCCCTCGCCGGCCTCTCCCCGCGCCCCGCGCTTCCTCCCGCTGGCCCAAGACCCGGCGGACATCACTAACAAGGCTTACCGGCAATCGCATCACGCGTACATCCCCATGCCCCGCAAGTAGCCGGCATCGACACCGCGCAGGACACGCTGCGACTTACACAGTAGTGACATAGTGCGATCGTGATGCATAGTTGTATTAACGTGACAAGCGTGACGCGTCCTACGTGACGTTTTGTGCAACGGGACCTTGACGTGTTGTGGTACGCGACGGTGTGTGGCGATAGGGTGGTAGGTCAGCGTGGCGCGCGAGGGCATGGGCGCGCAGGGCGCGTGGCCGCGGGAGGCGCCGGCGCTGCTGAGCACGGCGCTGCTTCTGGGCGGCGCGCTGCCGGAGCGGCCGGCGGCGCCGCTTTTCACCATCGATAGCATCCTGGCGCCGCGGCCGCCGCCCGCAGTACCTTCCGCCGTGCCACCGCTGCAACTCCACCACCTCGCCCACACGCCCTTTCACAGAGCACATGACCTTTTCGGTGAGTCTATAAAGAAATAGTGAATGTTTAGAAAGAATAGATAATTTCCATGTTTTAAAGGTCTTAAGTCTTAAATACTTAATTCAATAAAAGTGAATCATGTTGAACACAATTTGCATTTTCACTGGGCACAAAAAAATTAAACAGAGAAAAAAAAATTACGATAAGCATTTATACATTTTCTGTCTTTAAGTACCATGTAGTATTTCACTAGTATTCAACAGTCTAAAACTATGCACTAAAATTAAGGGGTGACCAACTTGGGTTGACCAAAGATCTACTGATTATTTACGACACCCAAAATACGACAATAAAGAATTATCGGCCAAAAAACTTTTTTTTTTACAAAATTAGTGTATTACAAGAAAACTAGTTACATTGTTTCGGGAGGCAGGGCCTTCTGTTATCTATTACTTTATGTTATTAATAGAAATGTAATAAACCAAATCTTGAGATCGCGCTGATTTAGCTTTTTGAAAAATACGAGTAAGTAGGTCCGAAAAAATGTAAAATTAAAATATTAGGTACTAATTTAACCGATTGACATATCGAAGAATACGTGAATTTAATTGTCATCGCGAATATTCAACTAAAAGTGCTATGCTATTAAAATTTAAATAACTACTAAATAAAAATTAATTGATCGAACACAACTAAGTTCAGCGCACCAAAATCTGTGGAGCATTTTGAATTTAAGAGGAATTATTGCATCGGACATGAGTTAGCCGAAATAGCCAATCAGCAATTGATAAGAATGAAAATAAGTGTTGACAAAGTTTTCAGATGTAAATTTTATTAAAATGCAGAAATAAGACGAGAGCATGATGTCTTGCATAGATTACGATAAACAGTTTAAGGAAATTGAATTACCTGCTACGTATAATTAAAAAAAGTCACGTGAATTAATTAAATAGAATTATGGCTCTTATTGTGTTATATTAATTTGCCGGCCGCGTGCCCTAGTGGCCGGTGCATAGCGGCTTCGATCTTATCGCGTTATATCCGATTATGTACGAGCAAGTCGGCGCGACGGCAGACGTTTGAAGCAGATTTTCTTATTATATTTTTTTTATTATTCAAATATAACTCAAATATTATCCGCCACTTCTTGGAAGGAAAAAAATGCCAAAAATCCGGAAGTAATAGATATTCAATTAAATAATTTTAATTCAGAATTATGTCCTTCAGTACACAAAAGAATATTTCTCTAAACTTAAATCGACTGTGGACGATTTTCAAAAAATCTATTTGACTGCTCGCCTACATTTTAATAAAAAGTAACTTAAGTATTTATCTATGTTTCTAAATGTTACATATTCATTATCTAGTAAAAGCGATAGTTAACACTCTTCTCTAGTAACCTTAACCTAAGGTCTGTATGAAATATTCTTTTAATAAGCATATCAATACAGTAAATCAATAAAATTACAGTTTCATGTAAGGGTATCAACTGTCAATGTTATAAATGTTTAATAATGCGGCGACTGACTTACTTAAGAGCACGGCCGGCGCGCCCCGGGCCATCCCTTGCGTTGCGCCGCGCCTCGCCTCGCCTCGCAGGGGTGAAGACAGGATTTATCTCAATTAAGTGTTTTTCTTTTTACCGAGGACAGTTTAAAGGTTGATAAAATCTCAAGGGATCCTTTTTGTTATAAAAACAAGTTTAGTTTGTTTTGCTTAAAGTTACATTATTCGAATCATTATTAACAGTATTAAGAAATATTGGACTTATTAAAATAGGTACAAGTCTACCAAATCCTTTCATAGGCGTTATAAGTACATATTTGTAACCTAAGTATCTTACTATCTGGACATATTCCCAATTTTAAATAAGGACTTAAATAATGTGTACAATGGACACTCCACATTTTAATTCATAAACAATACAATTATCCGAAAATCAAGATAAGATCCATATAATTGATATTCCATATAATTTATATTAATAAGTATTAATCATTATTATTGGTATGGCTGCAAAATTTAAGAGAATAAATTTACCGAAGTATTGACTGTAAATAAAATAATACATGTATTGTTATAGCAAAAAAATCAGACAGATTTCTATATGATAACGTTAAAACCATTTGCTGTTATTGTAAGTAAGTTTAGATGAAAATTCTCTTAAATAAAAACACAGTATTCAAATCGATACGGCTTAGATGGTGAAAGCCGTAACCGGGGTGAGCGCGGTCGTACGATGTGCGGAAAGCTACGGTAGCGCCTTACCAATACGCCGCCGGCTTTAAAAGCTTTTATATTTCTTTCGGAAATAATACAATGTAATATCCCGCCGGTGGAAGTATGCAAAAATATTCAATTTTTATTTGTAGCGTTAATATTTCCATCGGATCGAAGCGAGGGTCGCTCGGGGCTCTCTAAGCTCGGATATTCGCGCTCCGCTTCTCCGCGCGAATGTTAATTCTAATACATGATGACGTGTTCACATCGCACCTTACCTTTATGCATTTTTAAGTCGTTCAAATCTTATCAAATTCAAGTCTTATATCTCGGTTAAAAAAATGTTTTTGAAGACAAAATCGATACTATCCCTTTAACAGTTATGTTTTTTTTAATCATTTATTTATGTTGTTAATTTTCAATAAAGCAATATTTTTATTATTCTTGGTACAGTCGACCGGCAGACAAGCCTTGCGCCAATGCATCTTATGTCATGTAAGTATTCAGCTAATGTCCGCTACAGACGCTCAGTTTTTACTGAACAGAGAAATTTAACAAGTTAGAACTGTGCATATGTAGACACAGCTTTAACTAAACAGTTTTTTTGCCTACATAGGTACAATTAACCTTTCAGTTAAAACTGACAGAACTGAACGTATGTAGCGGGCTTAAATATTAACTATCCACAGCGTTTCATTAACATACGTACATACGGTTATAATTATTTATGTTCCACATGAAACCTAACTTTAGTAATTACTAGCTTTAGCATGCGACTTCGTCCCCGTGGAATAAAGAAAAAATTGCAAGAAATATAGCATACGTTATTCATTGATAGATTACTACACTGATACATTACAACACACACCTAGATTCTAAATGGTGAAATATTTTTTGAAATCGGCCCGGTAGTTTTTGAGTTACATACAAACATCCAAAAATACAAATCTTTCGTCTTTGTACTATTAGTATAGATGTATGGTACAAAGACGAAAGATTTGTATTTTTGGATGTTTGTATAGATATATGGTAGATAAATATTAATGATTGAAGGTAACTTCATGACGGACTTTACTTTTCGACATTATTTATTTTAATAACGATAATGCCAAAACACAGTGGCGGCAATGTGTCTTAATTTTATAAAGGTAATTATAGTTAGCACTGCTTAGTTTTAAAGTAAATCAAAATATGTAGTTATAGGTTTTCTATGCCATATGGGTGTTCGTAAAGAATAGACTGTTGTTTGAGATTTTGGAATTTAGGTTACCAGCACAAAATATATTCCTCAAAAAATTAGTAAACTTTAATAAAATTCAAATCATTTTTTAAAATTCTCCGGTATTTAAGTTAAGAAAAATCCTGTAGCCTTGTAATAACAATATAATATTTTTTTATCAGGGGTGAACAGTGTGGGCGGCGGCGGCACGGGCTATGCGGGCCTGTACGGCGGTTATGCGGCGGCAGCGCTGGCAGGGCTAGCCGGACCACCGCCCAAGCGCAAGCGACGCCACCGCACCATCTTCACGGAGGAGCAGCTCGAGCAGCTTGAGAGTACCTTCGACAAAACGCACTACCCTGACGTCGTGCTGCGGGAACAACTCGCGCTGCGCGTCGACCTCAAAGAGGAGCGAGTTGAGGTAAGATCCTCGTTGTATAACGAATGAAGGCAAAATCTCATTACACAAATATATTTTATATTCTATTTAAGGTCTATAATGTACGTTTAATGCCAACCTTCGATGAAAGATGGCACTCAAAGAAGAAGAATGTAGTTACGTTTATTATGTACAGTGTCGTTTGTTAGTGGAAGATAATCTCAACGCGCTAATTGAGATTATGAGGGTTGGTAAATGTATCAATAGACAGAGATAGTGTTGGTAATTGTTCTTAGTTATTTTATTTGTTAATCTGTATTAAACTCTAATTGTTTATCTGTAAGACGGAACGGATTTTAAGTTCGGTTCGGAGTGCTTTGCAATTTTTGGCAACTGTACAGGAGTCAAAAAGTCATAAATGTTCTACTAAACTATCAATAAAGTCAGATTTTAAAGTCGCGATAAACCATGACTTAGTGATGCAATGGCAAGGTATAACAACTTTCGATGAAACTTATCAACTTAATGTTTTATTGGCTTCTGAATTAATAATGTGGGGTAGAGCTCGAGCCGGCTACATAACAGTAGATAGTATACGTGATTAGGTTGACCGGGCGGAAAGTTTAGAAGTGGTGAAGGGCCGTGTGTCAACATCTCTGACATGACGTCGCCGTCGCCCCGGACCAGACTGTGGGTGGCCGACACACAAAAAACTATTACAGTAAGGCGGTTAAGGTAACAAGCAAATAAAGACTTTCTACTCGTATTTTACGTTTTTGTCACTTTTTTAAACATAATCTCATTTTCTTATTATTATTCAATGACATATTTATACATTAAAAATGATCAATTGTGTGACATAAGAAGTCCTCTGGCGACTATTTTCTTTGATGTTTAAAGTGAAAGGTTTTTAAGAAACTTGGGTTGTAACCATAATATAAATTAATTTTATTAAATATATCTTTATTTCTTACTCTCTATATAATACATTTTACAAGAATATAAAAAAATAAAGATCTATTTTTATGACTGATAATAATATAATGAAATACACTACCTAAAAACATTTTGGTGCGCTATAACTAAATATGATAAATGATAATAAACATTTATGAAGCTGGTTAATATGCAAAATGCCTACGATATTACATTTAAAATATTTCTCTCATCAAAATCCATAGGCGTTTTTTGTCGACATTTGACATCATGTTATGTTTCCTTATAAATCGCCTTTACAATTACCGCTGTTATTAAATTTAACCCTCACCTCCCAAAAATGACTACTAAATAGATAGATAATAGTCCCTAAGTCATTAACTTTTTTTGAGATATTCTTGCTGCCAGGAACCGTTAGGTGTAAGAATAAAAATCACGATAATGCTTTAAAAGACAAATACACTGGTCATTCGGATCAACTTTCAAATTACGGCTCTAGAAACTTATAAATAGTTGAAGATATTTGTGAAGCGCTCTATTGATAGAATTTGGGATGTGGAGTAGGAGGTTGTTTGCTGGCTACCGGTGTTTAGTGGTGGAGTGTGTGCGGTGCACTCCAGCGCGCCGAGCCACCCAGGCGATGCGCGCATGATGCCTTACACGCGTTTACACACATTTCTTTACCTGGCCCACATTGCGCAAATTTAGTTTGATTTTTCATTGTCAAATCAAGGGACATTTTGCTTACAGGTGAGGTTATTAGGGGGAAAAGAAAGAAAGATTCCAAGTAATAAGCCTTTTATCTTCATTCTAAAAGAAATTCATTCTTTATAAAGAATTGAGAATTTTTTGTTTATAGAGTATTCGGAAACAATAAAATGCATAAGCCCTAACTTAAATGTGTTAAAATGTCTTCCGAGAAAAATCTTTAAGTATGATTTTATGTCTAAAATATTTTCTAACAAATATGAGTCGTATGCTAACCGCAATAATTTTTAAATCTTCGGTATAATGTTGTACAAATAAAACGATAAACGCCTGCCAATTTACTCGCAGCAGTAGGTCTTCCGACAAAACGCGGCGGCGACATGTGAAATTTACTAAGTGTAAAGTTTTTATTAAAGAAACCCTATAACCGAGTAAACCGCACCGAGCTCTCGGCCGAGAGTTTTACCTAAGGGCAAATAAAAAGGGCCGCGCAGCTCCGCGAAAATTAATCTGAGTTAATTAAATTTGATTTATTTATACCGTCCGGGCTGAGGGAGCGATAAAAGCACAACAATGAGGCTAATGAGGGTCACTTGTACGGCTTTCTCTCGGATAACGGAGTTTTTCCGATTTGTGAAACTTGTATCCCGTTTAATCAATAAACGATATTCTTAGGGAAGCTCTAAAAAGTTTTACGATTAAATTTTTTTCCAGAGACTTTGTTTTAAACGACTTTCGTTTTTTTTTTACAATTACTTAATCGGAATTTTCATTGGTCTGTTAAAGTTACGATTTTTTGCAAAGTTTTGATTAGGTAGTTAGCGAGGGTCGCTGCTGAAGCAAATCATGTTCCATTGAATATTTGCACTACTGTTATAAGAGTGATGTTATAGTCGTAGATGAAAATTTACGTAAATTATTTTAACATTCCCTATTTTTATTTGATTTATGTACGCTAGGTTTGCGTGAAATGTATCATAAACTCTTGCCGTAAACGTGCAACACACACGCTCAGTTCTGCCCCTGTTATTTGCACAGCGGCAATTGGAAATTGCATTATTAAAAGGCTTTTGTTTAAGCATCACAACACTTGCCGAAAATCGAGGTTACGTGAACAATAAAAAGCTTTGTTTTCGAATACGCTTCATTTGTTTCAACATTCAACTTTTATTCGTACGTTGGAAAACTCATATGAACTACTGCAAGCATTGTTTGTACAAAAATATTAATAAATGACGGTCAGTGATTAAATTGATTGAAAGCCTTTTGTTTAACTACATACAGATACTTAATAATATTACAAAGTAATAACTAATAGTATCAAGATGATGTAGGTGAAGTTTTTTTTGTAGATCTTTTAAATGTAATTTAAGATATAAATGTTGCTCGCAACTTCGTCCGGGTGAAATAAAATAATATACCATAGGCATGTTACTCACAGATAGATTACCTTTGTAATGGTGTAGAATTATTAAAATCGGACAAGTAGTTTTTACGTGAATCAAATACATACAAGAATAAAAATCTTTCCTGTTTATAACATTAGTATAGATAAATCTTGAAATTGACTATCTGGCTTTGACACCTTGCAATTTACTACAAGTATTATATTATATTCTGAAAACTCATAAAAGTCTTTATATAGTCGGAATTTAATACGTTATACATTAATTACTTTGCTAAACTTCTTTAAAAGCATAAATATATTAATGTTAGAAGTTTTGCACAAAGTAATGAACAATTACAAAATTATACAAAACGAAAATCAATTTTGGTTTGAACACTTGTTTTCATAATTCGCAATGAACTTATTTATTACTTTTGTTCCGGTTTTATTATTGCTGTTTACTTTTTCTTTCTACTGTCCGTAGATTTGTGTTTTTTATTATATCAAAATCTGAAACACAATGGCAAGGTTTTATTAGAAAAGATTTTGGAGAGTAAATATAAACGGGACATGAAAAACCAAACGTCAAACATATGGCGTATTTGTAGTTTTGTACATTAATGAAATTAGTTCAGTAGATGCCAGGATATAAAATGATATGGTTTAAGACACAATTATCATGAGGCGTTTAAAATTATTCTTAAGCAATATCATCATTATCATCATCTTCCCGTCCTACTACTCCCATAGGATGGACACGTAAGGATTTCGTCCTCTAGGTTGATCTGTGCACCGTCATCTCAGTCTTCACTCCTTTCTTTATCATGTTACCTTTCACGCAACCCACCCATCTCATTCTTCAATTCTTATACTTCATACATAGTGTCAAAATATTATGTTGAAAGTTGTTATTATTTATGATACTCAACAACTTACAATATATTAAATTTAACAGAGATTAGAAAGTACATAAAAACATTGATTTAAAAGAAAACGGTAAAGTTTGTACGAAATGTTGTACTGCATATAATATTTAAAATACTTGGATCGTAGTTTACATCTGTGTACAATTGGATGAAGAGACGACACGTCACGTATGCGGGTGCTTTTATTTCGTCATCGTTAATTACAAAGTTAAAATATATCCTCTTCGTTAAATATAATTAAGTATTTCTACGTGACTTTGTTATGGTTTAATTATGAATGTAATAAGAAATATCACGTCGAGGGTCGCGGGACGCGAATGGGCCAGATTTAATCAGACAACGCTCGTAATAAAGATCAACATTGAGACGGCGGCAGTCGCCCGAGGCCCTCGACAAGTCAAGATTACATGTCCTTTTAATAATTAATTTGTGCAAAGAGTTGGAGCGTCTACCTCGTAACCCGAACAATTGTCTTTTTATTTGCAAAACGATGCTCTTTTTTGACATTGTTAGCACATCATTAATTTACCTTATTTAGTATTTAGAGGAGAAAAGTAAGAGGGTGACTTCTTGTTTTGTTTTATAATCTTTCTTTCTGATATTATTGCACGATCTTATAAATTCTAACTTTAGGTCTTTTAGGTTATACTTACAGTTGTACCGAGACGCTGAGATTAATACTGTCTCTTACAATTTAGAAATACAAGCTGTAATTCTGCTAAGAAAAATTTATATAAGAAAATCATCTAAGTACTTAAGACATAAGTCTTCACAAAATTTACGCAGTATTTTTTTAAGATAATATACAATACGCTTTTTTATTCGTTAAATGCTACGTTATACGGTAGTGCTACGTGGATACCTTCGTTGTACCATGTATAACGGTTCTTGATTTTTGGATTAGGTCTCAACAATATAACAACCGTTTTAAAAAACATTTTAATATTTTGATATTATTTTAACATATTCATTTCATATAAAAGTCATTTAATTCCAATATATAAAACTTTATATGTATTGTGATATAGTACCTTTACTATAAAAAATATTTAATTTGTATGTCGAGTGCAGATATGACTAAAGTT